TATATATATATATTGATTAGAATTACCCTTTGTGGATGTGTTACCTCCTGTAGATGTGTTACTCGTCGAAAATATCTATGGCTACATAATTCTACGTACTTTGTGCACATAGAGGCGCCAGTAGACGGATTACGTCCACGTCTATCTACATTTATTCTCATTTCCGAACAGTCATGACTGGGGACTCCACTTATTGAGTCGCTCCAGAGTCTCCAAATTGCTCCAGACTCTGGATTTGGGCTTCTTCATGGTGAATACCATACAAAACTATATGGGAAATCTGAAAGAATTCTAAATATTTGTATCGTTATATCAATTCAGACAGGAATATGTGGAGGATAACAGAAGAAGATTTTAGAACAAAACTTAGTACTGAAGAAATAATGTATTAATAATTTATTAATAATTAATTCTTAACTTTCCTCTCTTGACTCACAAATAGTGTAGAATGCGAATTCAATGTGAGGGATATTTATATTTAAAAATAAGGAGGAACTGAAAGAGACAATTGTAAATAAACAACGAAAATAGAAAGCACGGAAGTGATAAGAGAAAAAAGACGAATATTATCAAAAACATTAGTTTTTCGATTGATAATTCGACTGATATCGTTTAATGACTGATAAATATTATCAGCATTAATGGTTCTGGCTGTGGCACAGATGATAACATAGGTGCTTTCCATTTGGTGATCAGTCGACACAAGTGTCATTCAATATGTTTGTACTAATTGAATGCCGAGAAAAATAGAATGATATGCCACATGTGTGTCGATTTGTGTCACTAAATTTAAAACATTCTCAATTGTCCTCAATAAAGTTTACTTATTTGTTGAAGTACTTGTGTTATATTCAACATGGCAACTGGCGATGACAGACGTATCGCTCTAATAACAGGTATCACCGGGCAGGTAATTATTTTATTTTTTAAATTTAATTTTAATTAATCTTAATGTTGTCATAAAATAATAATGTTGACTCGACAAAATGTATAATTTTCAAACTAAAACTGCAGTATTAAATTTTAAGAAAATACCAATTTAATCTCTAATGATTATTTTTATTAATATAGATTAACTATCTTTTTTAATTTAATTAATTCTTTGTCTTTTTCTAATTTTTAAAATTAAATGAGGATAAAAAGTAAATCAAACTGAAATTAAAGTAAATCTACATTGGCAAAAATGTTATTATATATAGACATGTTATTTTACAATAATTGCCTTGTGTTTGCTATGAAACTACCTTCATGACAACAGAGATTTATACTGTCTTCAATCTTTTGTTGCTATTCTAGGATGGCTCTTACCTAGCAGAGTTCTTACTGGAAAAAGGATATGATGTGCATGGCATTATCAGGCGGGCCAGTTCATTTAACACTGCACGTATTCAGCATCTTTATGAGGATCCAAAATGTCATCGACAAGGCAAAATGAAACTGCATTACGGTGACATGACAGACTCCAGTAGTTTAATCAAAGTCATTAGCGCGATACAACCGACAGAAATTTATAATCTCGCAGCACAAAGTCATGTTATGGTATGTATTTTATTTGTGTATATATATATATATATATGATTCATACAGGATGTCACAGAATGATCACCAAATATTTCATGTGCTGATAGAGCGACTAAACTGAGTCGAAAAGTCCTCTTCTATTTTGCAATTTTGCAGTAATTAATAAGATGTTAGTTAAAAATCGCTGAAAATGCTGATTTTTAATAATTACTATCAACTTCAAAAAAAACGATAGACAAAAATTATTTATTTTTTTCTCATAGAGTTTCAAGAATTTTTTCAGAATTTTTTATCAACTTTTTAGTACTGTATTTTCTTATTGACAACTATTTTTACCGACATGAGAAAATGAGGTACTAAAAAATTCTAAAAAAATTCTCAGAATTCTATGAAAAGAAAATAAACAATTTTTGTCCATTGCTGTTTTTCTATAAAGTAATAGTATTTGAGTAAAAAATTATTTGAGTAAGAAAATATTCGGTGATTTTTAATAATTAATGTCTTGTTAACTATTGCGAAAATTGCAAAATGGTAAAGGACTAAACTTTTCGATTCAGTTTAGTCCGCTTTATCTGCACACGAAATATTTGGCGATCATTCTGAGACACTCTGTATATATTAATCAATATCAATACGTATTTATATTAAATAAATTGAAAATTATATGTGATGTATTATTTTATGTTGCAATAGGTAAGCTTTGAAGTAAGCGAATATACTGCAGAAGTAGACGCAGTAGGAACAGTAAGAATATTGGACGCGATACGTACATGCGGCTTAGAAAAATCTGTAAAATTTTATCATGCATCAACGTCCGAACTTTATGGCAAAGTACTAGAAGTTCCACAAACTGAAAAGACACCATTTTATCCACGCTCTCCATATGGTAATTGAGGGAAAAAGATATACTTTTACATTAAATCACCTTTATATTAAACTTTCATATCTATATTAAATAATTTTATATATTTTTTTTCTCATTTTAGCTTGTGCAAAATTATATAGCTTCTGGATAGTCGTAAATTACAGAGAAGCGTATAATATGTTTGCATGCAACGGTATATTATTCAATCACGAAAGTCCGCGAAGAGGAGAAAATTTTGTTACAAGAAAGGTGACGAGATCTATAGCGAAAATACATTTAGGTCTACAGGATGTGCTCGAATTAGGAAATTTAGATGCAAAACGAGATTGGGGCCATGCGAAAGATTATGTAGAAGTAAGTAACATTTCATGATTATTACATTATATTACATTATGTTCATGATTTTTATAGATTAATTAAATAATATTCAAGTTTTTTGACATAAACTGCCATGTACAATATGCAGGCAATGTGGTTGATGCTCCAACAAGCACAACCGGATGATTATGTCATAGCGACAGGAGAAGCACATAGCGTGAGAGAATTTGTAGAAGTGGCATTCCAATATGTAGATCGTACAATTAAATGGCAAGGCGAAGGCGTGAATGAGACGGGACAAGACGCACAAACCGGTCAAATATTAGTTCGCATAAATCCGAAATTCTTCCGTCCAACCGAAGTGGTAAGATATCCGAAATATAGAGAAATGAAAGATAAATTTTATAACATATTATAATTTTAATTTATATTTATAATTGTTTTTTTCCTATTGTTCAGGATGTACTTCTGGGTGATGCATCAAAAGCAAGAAACAAATTCGGATGGAAACCAACAGTTACATTTAAGGTAATTTTTTATACATCTCTAAAAAAAATGCAAGTATTTCTCAAAAATATAATATCCTACATGTTTTAAAATATCATACATTATAATTCATACATATTGCAGGAACTTGTAAAGGATATGATGGACTCTGACTTAGAATTAATGTCAAAAAATCCAAACGCTTAACATTATTGCATTGGAATTGTGATACAATCAGACGCATTTATCATTTTGTTTACGAAGCGGCAGTATTGAAAAGTTTATCTACACTAATATAATAATAAATATATAAATATTTTTTAAATGTTTTTGAGAAATTCTTTAGAGAGTAAATGAGATTTTTATGTGTAATTTAGTAGCACAATAATGTTATACAGATAATGCTTCGTTTTATGAATTTGATTGCAGGATGTAAATTTAAAAGTGATCTATATTAATATTTTTATACATTATTGCCTTGCCAGAATTTTTAGAATTTTACGTTATATTTTAATACTCGTTTTCTTTTGCTCTCGCCTCAATGTCAAACAAAACAATATCATTACATTTAGGTGACGATTTCCTAAGAAAGTGACATATTCTGCAATTGTTATGTATTTTATACTATTCTGAAATGAATTAATCTTTAAGCTAATGAAAAAAAGAATCGGAGTGTAAGCAACATATTTTATTACATGGTACAACAAACCGAGTATATTATAAAGGTTTATATTATAATATATAAGTTGATCCTAAATATTTAATAGAACGATAATGAAGTGTTAAAACCACTGAACTTTTTTCTAATTAAAATTTCTAATCTGAGAATCAGAAATATATGTATATGTAAAATATTCAACAATTACACAAAAAATTTATTCACTGTTCCCAAATCCTTTGAAAAATCCAAGATTTGATTATTATACGTACAAGAGTTCGAGTTAATTTGTAACGATTTCATCATTATATGTAAATTAATAGTCTCGTAAGAGAATTGTTGGAAAATCTAATAATTCCTAAGGTGAAGCATTCTTGAATGTATTGAATATTACTAATTTATTAGAGAAGAATGCAGTAGAAGCTGCGGTTTTATATTCGAATAAAATAAAAAAATATAATCTTTTATACACCAATAAAAACGTGCATATAAAAAATCATGTATACATAATATTTTATTTATTCAATTATTTATTTAATAAGTAAAGATATTTAATATTGTAAATATTTAATAATTGTTTATAAATCATTTTATATGCAGCTGGTTATAATTATCTAATTGATTTCATGCTGATGTGTTTATTGCTCGGATTTCTCTATTTTAGAATCCTTGCGGGGTCGAATTACTCTACTTTAAAATCTCCCGCTCTCATTTCCCACTTTTATTCGATATATATTCGATATGTATATTTGACTTTAATCAGAAACAATCAGAAGTACATTGTATTTATATCAATTTATGTATGCATCCATATATTATATCATCATCGCGTATGAGTGATTTAAGCTAATTTTAATGAACTCACAATTAGGCTCGATTGCACCAACGTTATTTTAAATTGAGCTTAAAAATCTTCTCTTTCTTTTAAAGTCGATAGAGAGACAGAAAGAGAGTTTTAAGCCTCGTTTAAAATTAACGTTATTGCAATCGGGCCTTAGTATATTATCCTGAAACCTATCCTTTCATCTTGCAATTGCATTTTAGAATAACAAAAGTTCAGCTTATTCGATCAATTCAATCTCCTCTCGGCCTTTCCTTTTTTTTTCTTCGCCATTTCCTTCCCCTTCCACCCCACTGTACCACGGTGTCTCTTCTCTTTCTCTCTCACTCCCAATCGCGAGATTGTAAACAATTCGAACGCGCGCGGAGAAAGGCTCAGGAGTCAGGAAGGATGCGACTGACGTGGGCTGAAGGGAGGTACGCGCTTTGCCTGCTAGTCCTGCAAATAAGACTGACGAACTCGCGGACATCCTGGCGATTGAATGCCGCTGACAAGGTCGTGAAGACGACCGACTTTGTGAGCGCGGTCGAAGACGATCCGATCTTCGACATCCTCTCGGGCAGTGTGGTCACCGGCAACGGCCAGACCTGGAGTAGGACCGCGACATCCGAGAAGCACGAGAAAGTGCAGCTATACTGTCAGGAATGCAAAGGTTTCGCCAGCCAGGAGAGGTAAGCAGCCGGACGTGCAATTACCTTGCCCAGGTTCGCGTTACTAGGTTATAAAGTTATAGCTTGTGCCCTCGGTTTTTCTTTTCTTTCGTTTTTTCTTCCTTTCCATCGTCGCATTGCGCTATCACATTTATTATAAATTTGTAATATGCTAGACATTTTCATAAGCTAAACAAAAAATGTAGTAAGTTATGGCTTAATTATTTTTAAATAAAAAAGCAAAAGAATTGCGTAGTCTTTCTGCAACTAAGTTCGTATCATATTACAGTCTACCTGCATGCGTTTTATTTATTTATTTTTTTTGTGTTTCTATCATATACACAGTGATACCATTTATGTGACATAATTTTCTTTTTCTTTCTGTAGTTAGCGTTTTGTGTGTGGCTTGCTGTTCATTCAGTGTTAACAGCCCTAACTTTGGTCCCCTTGGCAGACGACTTTCGTCATACGTGTTGAAGGATACGCAAAATATCAGCGAGTCCTATCCGCTGTCCTCGCAAGTGTCGAATGAGCAGGTGACGTGCGCCTCTGGTCAGCAATGCGACAACGTAATATTGGACTGTGGCAAGCCAGTAAATTTTACTTACTACGATAATCTGATCGGCGTGGCCAACAGAAACAAGCATCCGTTGGTACCAGAACCTAATGTAGCACTCATGTTCAAGAAGAATGGAGGCAAAACTGTCGACGTCGATATTGATTTGCTCGAGAGACGCTTGAAGAAAGCAAAGCGAGAGGTATATATTTCAAAGCATTTAGTGTATATTAGCGTTACATCTCAGTGTAAGAAGCATACACTGATAATTAAATACTATATTATGAAATTGCCAAAGATTCCAGCGTTTTCATTTTTCAGTGAAGCAAAAAAAAAACAAACTATTGTAATCATAACACTTATGTCTTTTAGATAAACTATTTTTACATGCACTACAAGCATCAATGAAGGTGTGTGTGTTTTATATAATATAACTTTTAATTTTTCTTTAAATGAATTTTTCTTCCATTCTAGAAACCAAAATCTGTCCAACTGTATAATCAGATAGGAAATTTCTGGCGTATAAAAGGTGATGCACAAAGATCGATTGAATGCTTTCGCAGAGCACTTGCTGTATCACCACATAATGCAGAAGTGCTCTTGAATTTGGCTAGAGTATTGCTGGTACAACATTACTTGGATGATGCAACGTATTTAGCCAGACGATCTTTAGAATTGCAACCACCAGATCGTAATGCATGGGAGCAATATCTTACACTTGGTCAAATATTCAAGGTATAAGAACAATAATTTGCGATATAGCTATGTAAAATATATTCACTGAAATTCCAACATCTGGACATTCTTAATAAACATATCTACAAAATACTTTATTAATTATAATAAAGATTAACAACTCTTTTCTCTGATGGTTTCAATGAATATTTATATGAGTAAAATGAATGAATGAAAGGAAATGTATGAATAAGTAGTTTTATCCAATGAAATGTATACTAAAAAATATGCCAATATAAAATTTAATATTAGATGCACTTTCATTTTACAGGCATATGGACATTTTCAAGAAGCAGCTGTACACTTGCGTCATGCATTGGAATTAAAACCAGATCTCTCTGATGCTGCCGATGCATTAAAAGAGGTCGAATCACTGCCGCTCGCAAGTATGCATGTGTATACATTGCTGATCATCGTCGGTTTGGTACGTAAACTAATGAAACAAATATACAAATTATCCATCTTTTATGGGTATTAACAATTAAGTAAAGTGTTCAATATTTTTTGCATCTGTTTTTTTTAAATAAGGTTTTATCTAAACAATTTTACGAAAAGATAGAACTTTTTTTTCTTCCATAATTCCAGCAGAAATTGTTAATGATATAATGACTTGTTATCATAGGTGCTAGGTGTACTCTTCGTTGTATTGACCAGTGTAGAATGTGATGATGTTTCAACTTTAGTCAGTGGACAGCTTCAGCGCCCAGTACAACGACATTTCAGTCGTGCTATGGCTATGCGCAGCTTGCGGCTTAATGTTGCACGCAATAAACGTTGTTGATGGTGATGATAATGATGATGACTCATTATTGACAAATCAGTCGTTCGTACATGTGATAGAATAACTTCTCATGCCATAACGACTTATCTCCTTGCAAAGTATTATTTATAACATGACGCAATAATTCTTGGGATGCACTAATTGTTTATTATATATCTCTGGAGAAAAATATATATGAGGAAATATACAAAAATTTCATTACTTCTTTATTCAGACCGGATCCAAGCCGTTACCAATTTCGATTAAATTCTTAATTTCTATCCAATATTTATTTTTATCTTTTCAACATGTTTACAGAAAATAAAAAATATGGAATGTCATATACATATACATATATGTATATATATATATATGTATAATATATGTATACATACATACATATATTTTTTTTTTATATATATATATATATAAATATATAATACAGTACATTGTAATAATTTTTTTAATTATCATATACATCAAAACTAGAATAGACACAAGATATACTTTTAACTTGCTTTTTGTTTATATCACTTTGTAATACGATTATGTGTTTATAGTTGATATATTAGTACCTGATTAAAGCTGAATATTAGCTTTAACATACAGGATGTCTCAAGAAAGATGTGAAATAGCAGCAGAATTCTCTATTTTTCAAAATCTGTATAATAACTTTAACAACAAATTTGACTTTGGAAGCAAAAATACGTAAAGCTTTATACATATACATACATACATACATATATATATATATATATATATATATATATAAAGAATTTTTACAATAAATGGTAGAATTTCTATCATTTGCTCTCAAAATTTGTTTTGAAAAAAATTCTGTTGAAAAATTATTTGACTATACACGTAAGTATTTACTTCTACTAATATTGGGAACTGTAAATATTTGTTGAAATTGATAATTTTTAAGGAAATTTAAGATTATTTCTAAAATAAAAATCTGGTTTTTACTTAATTATTTTGTTTGTAATATTGAATGATTTGTTTCTTAGGTATTTTAATATCTATTTCTGCAACAAAATTTTCATTAATATCAACAAATCTGTATCGACCTAATTCTT